TGAAACTCTCTCTTATGTTCTCTTGTCCGGATTTGAGTACATATTAATTTTTCCCTCGATTCTCTGTGGATACCACCTGTTCTCATCACTTTATTGCGTTAGTAGTTGTTTGAGAAATGATAAAAATTATAAATGTTTAAACTGGTGTTCCGGAGTGTTTAACGACGCGCTTCTGGACACACCAATGCGAGCTAAGGGTTTGTGGGTGGACGAGCTACCTAGTGTCCTTTGGGCCTACAGAACAATTATCAAGACCGCGGTAGGAGAAGCGCCTTTCAACCTGACGTATAGAACAAAGGCAGTAATCCCAACCGAGATCGAAGTACCGACCTTGCAGCTTGAAGCATACAATAAGGAAGCAAATGACGACGAACTCCGAACTAATTTAGATCTGATCAAGGAGGTATGCGACCTAGCCCACATCTAGACTGCGGCCTACCAACAACGTGTAACTTGGTACTACAATGCCCGGGTCAAGAAGCGCTAGTTCCGAGTTGGCGGCCTAGTACTCAGGAAGGTGATGGTCCTTGAGCCCAGTGTAGGGAAGCTCGGACCAAAATGGGAGGGTCCGTATAGAGTGAGACGGGTGTTCGAGAAGAGACGTACGAGGTTGAGATGATGGAAGGGAAGCAGGTACCTCGAGCTTGGAACATCGACAACCCGAAAAGACTACATATGAGCTCGCGAGTTAGACACATTTAAAAAATTTACTAAGTCCAGAAGACCACCGAGCTGGTCAAAGCACGAATTAGAGAGTGGACTACAAGTCGCTCCCATAGCCTAAGGGCTATGGAGCCGAGCTGACAAAAGACCTCGGCGCCAATTAAGACCCAATCGCCTCCTCAGCATGGGAAACATAAGACCCAATTGCCTCTTCGGCATGGGCAACACAAGACCTAGTCGCCTCTCCGGCATGGGCAAAATAAAATAGTTTGCGTTCAGCCTCATCGGCGTGTAGACAGATCGAGGACATACCCTACAGTGTTGGCACACCTTGGCGTACATTGACTTCGGATTATTGCTACCTATGCCTAGCTCACCAGCTTGGCACATTACTTCACTAAAAAAGAGGGTTCAGTACATTTCAAAAAAAAAAGAAGAAGAAGAAGAAAAAGAAAAAGAAGAAGAAGAAGAAAAAGAAAAAGAAACAACTACTTATTTGAGCTCGGAGGCTTGGGGCATTACATATGTACAAGAGGTCCAAGAAAAGAGGCAAATATCAATCCTGATGGGGCTCCTCACCCCCTCCTTCAACAAGTTCGGGATCTTTTGTCGGGTCCACCTCCATGGATGTGCTCGTAGTAGCAACCTCATCGGTCTCCATGACCTCTACCTCGTCGACTGCTACATCAGAGTTCCTCGACTTCTCTCCAGCTTCCAAACCAACATCGTCGTCACCATCCTCCTCGGAATCTGGATCTTCCCCCACTGCCTAGATTATTGTCTCTGTAGAAATCCCGATGGTTGTGAGTGGTTGGAGATCGAGCTGGGGAAATGCACACCTGGCCAGCCAGCAACAGACTTTGAAGCCCTTGCAAAATGCCGAGGTTGATGTTTCGTTCACGAAATCGTCAAACTCCAAAGAAGCCTTATAAGTTCGAACAACACGAATGTCGGCCTCCTTTATCTATTGGGAGATGATGACCTCACGATCAACGAGGAGAGCCTTCTTTTCTTCGACCTCCTTCACCAGTTCACGAATGCGCTCATCCTTCCGCTTCGCCTCAGCCTCCCACTTCCCGGCCAGCTCCACGGCCTTTAGTGTCCTGGCCTGGTACTCTATCACTTTAGATTCGGCAACTAGAACCTTGGCCTCCAGAACCTTCACCTTCGAATCCGAGACTTGCAACAACTCCATCTGATGGTTAGACTGCTCCACCAATGAGTGAATTATTGAGCTCGTCTACAAGAGAGTTGTGCCGATTAGCAAGATAGAAAAAACACAAAGGACAGAGAAGTGAAATAAAAAACATTCCACTATCAGATGACCCCACACCGTGGTAGCGAACTTGGAGCGTGGCATCCTAGCGTACTTGGAAACCTCGGTAGGAAAGGCAGCTTCCTTGCTTTTGAGAGTGGCGACTCGGGCGTCAAAGATGCTCTGGCCCTCCTCAAGAATTGCACCAGAAGCGGTGACCTCGGGACGGATGGGTCGGGGCTCGGACTCCTGGAACATCTCGGGCTCGCAAGCTGATGACTTGGCTCCCTGGTCATCCTCAACCAAGTCAATCACAGGGGCGTCTTCCTTCCTTCTTAGGGCAATAGGGATAGTGGGAGTGGCGACGGGCTCGGTGGATGGAGGTTCGACGCGAGATGCCTTTCTCTTCTTCTTCTTTTTCATGTCGGAGAAAAGCTTGGAGATTGGGATATCCGCCATGGTACTTACCCAGACTCAGCCCTGCATTAACTAACTTCTCCTCAGCCAAGAAAATGTCCAACTCCAACCTGAGCTTCGCCCAGGCATAAATCTATTTCTTCATGTCCTTATCTAGTTTAATGCCATGGTCACTGATGGCCATTCTCCAGTGCGTCGGAAACGGCCACCCCTAGCCACAATAATAATGAAATAGCGTCTCTTCTAGGCCGAGACTTTATTGGGGAAACCGTACAAAATCTTGTATCCAGGGCGGGGGGTCAGGTAGTAACTGCGGTATTYAGAAGAAGGGAGACTGGCAGAGTTTTTCTTGATGGAATAGATCAAACTAAAAGTATCCATGGTCAAAGGTTTACTGAAGTGATGAAACAGGGAAATGGTACCTACTATGGAGCGAATTGAGTTCGGGTGGAGCTGACCTATGGTGATGTTAAAAAACTTGAGGATCTCTACAACGAATGGGTGGAGTGGGAAGCACATCCCAGCTGTTAACTGCTCTTCGAACACTACGACCTCGTCATGATCCCAGGGATGCCCTTCTAAGGGAATACTCTAGCCATGGTCCTCGGAAAACTTGTAGTACTCTGCTAGTGTTTGGAGTCTCTCTGCAGTCATCACAAAAGGACCGAATCTGTCTGGCCTTGGCCTCTAAGAACTATGGGAGGTCGAGGCTCCCTTTCCGAAGTCCTCCCGCTCCTTTAACTGGGAGTCTGCCTCGGATGGACTGGGTACGGAGCCATGTGCCGAGGTGCTCACCTCGGCAGGACCACACTCAACCTTTTGGCCTGAGGAGTCCACCTCGGCAGGACCACACTCAACCTTTTGGCCCGAGGAGTCCACCTCGGTCCCAGTTGACTCGCTACTAGCATCTAGTAAGCTACCAGGGCTAATACTCGACACCGTAATTGAAGGAAAACAAGCTAGAAATGAAGGAGACTTACCTAGACCGGAGAGAGGAGGAGACGATTTCGAAGACAAGGACAGATGACACCGACCTGGAAGCAGACGCGCAAGCTCAGACCACGAATGCACAAATCACGGCGAAGAAAATGGGGACCCCAGAGCCCCTATTTATAGCCACTGTAGTCGATCTTGGACGGTCAAGATCAACGCGATCCGACAGCTCCTAGGAAAACTGGCTGCACGCCTCTCGGGGCTAAAATCAATTGAGCGCACGTTTTGACGTCCGCATGGTTAAATTATCTGTGTGACGTCCGCGCGTTCCTGATATGCGATTTGGCTTCCTGGTCAAGCCGGGCGGGTCATTAGGGTCAAACTGCCAGATCGGCCATTGGCCCTGAAGGTAACCAAGGCCAAATCCACCTCAACTCGTCATGGACTCCTTGCACCGGGTCGGGACCCCTGCACGAGGAGTGGGGGGTAATTGATGAGGGGTGATTTGGCCCGACCTGATAAGAAGATGACACGTGGATGCGGCCTGCCAGCTAGATGATGATTCAGCACCTCCCACCACCTCGGTGAATTAAGTCACCTCGGGCGCCTCGGGCGCCTCGGATAGCACCGAGGTCTGGGTACCTTGGATGACCAAATCTGTCGGAGATGACACGTAGCAGATTCCAGAAGCCCGCCAACTGCCTTCGAACCATTTGGGATCATGCCACGCAACTGTAGGCCTTATCCACATCCAGCCTGAATCGGGTGGACACGATAAGCCTTATCAGCTAGCACGTTAGTCACCTCCCGAAGTGGAATGGACTCTTTCGGCTCAGTCCATAGATCTCAGAGAGGCTCCTTGAGGCTCACGACAACTAAACTATATAAAGACATCAGTCCTCAGTACCCAGGTACACGTGATTAAATGCATTCTAGCTCTCTAGATTACTGATTTCCAGCTCTTAATCTACTAAGCAAGTACTAACTAAGCATCGACGACGTCGCTAGGTTAGGCCCCCGGGTTCTTTAATCCTTTCTCTTGCAATTCAACCGACCAGCTAAGTATCAACGTCCGAGCTACTCTCCAGCTAGAAGCATCTAGATCGCGCACGATCAGAAACATTAGTCGAGTAATCGCCAAATAATCACAGCTGTCCATTCGGCGCTGGCAACTAGCATTCGTCTTCTCCAACGATGGTAGGATTAAAAAAAATTCTAACGGCGGCAAATGCGCTTGTTCCGACAATATTTTTCCAAATAAATGGAGATATGCTCTTCAACGATGTTTTTCCATTGATTTTAGCTTTTTTCCGGCATCTTATTCTGCTTATCAACACCGGCGGAGAGAATTGATCTCTCCAGAGAAAAAGTTAATACAATGAACGATGATTCCCACTCGCAGAGAAAAGTTAATATAGTAAAGGCCATTTTTGTCATTTCAAAAAATCATCTCAATCGATTATTATAAACGTGATGGGTAATTACGTCTTTTTACATCCTGATTGACGGTTCGTTAATGTCAGGTATCGGATTGGGCAGTGGATTGTGGCATTTTAAAGTTTGAGTCCCAAATTGTCACAGGAGCCCAAGTACTGATCGGCAAATTTCCCTACAGAATATTCACATCCACCAGTATTTTGACCGATTTGTTTATGCTTTATCATCTTTTGAAGGTGTAATGCAATGGGCCTCTTGTGCCGACTGAGACTTTCACACACACGAGAGAGAGAGATTCACATGGTGCAGTTTTTCCTTAATTACATCAAGAATACAGAACATAAAAGATATGTACAAGACACTTGGCTATGGCACGTACCAAGATACAATGCCATGAGGCTACGAAGACTAAGAAAAAAAAAACCTGAATAAATCATCAATGAAACTGAGGAAACTAATCTGATTCTTTTTGCTAAGAGGTCTAAATGAAGCTGAATTTGACATTTTTTGGATTTCTATTAGACCCCCATGAAAGCTCTACACTGGGATTCCCAGTGCTCCTTTGTTTGCTGAATTCGCTCCAGTCGTTCTGTCTGAAGACGTTCCTTCCAATACTCAGGGCAGCTGTTAATGCACAGAGGGACAAAAGCTCAGTTGAATGAAAGCAAGAACCTTACCACAACAGGTGGGCTTCATAATGTGGTTTCAAATTTTCAGGAAGGAAGACTGATTTCAGTTGCAATTTTGGCTTCTAGTTGATTATAGTTGATCAAAAGGAGATCCATGATGTGGATCAGAAATATAATATTGCAGTACAAATTGAACATTCAACTAAAGCATACCTTCGACCTAATAGAATGTTAAGCTCCTCCAAATGTACAGCACCCTCAAATACTCCTGCCTGAATCAATTTCAACATTACATCAACATGGTAACATTGTAGTTATTAGCTTATTATCCAACAAAGGAAATGTCTATGACTCTATTGTATACTTCAATTATAAGCACTGGATACATCTAAATTCTAAACAAGGCCTATCTGGTTCTTTCTAAAGGGCCTGAGAATTTGCATTATGCACAAGGCACAAGGAAAAGAAGAGATTCCCACCGTTCTGACAAGGCAAAATGGAAAGTCTTAATAGAAAATCAGAAAGAGGAAATTCCTGTACTTACATCTTATTAAACTGTAAAAGTTACAGATTTGACATCAGAGCAGGAAAAGGGAAAAAAATCTAATTTATCCAAATTAGAATTAAAGGTTCGTCTTTTTTTTTTTCCAACTCTTTTAGTTTATTCAACATATTTTGGTTAGGCCATGTGAAACATATTTCTTATTAACTAAATAACTCACAAATATCTCTTTCCTGGTATGCTTTGGCTGCATTGTTGCATCCAATGCTAGCATACTTGCCAGTTTATAAGCTAAATAAAATACAGCACAAGCACTTGTTTATTATTATTTTTTTTAGTATTTGGGGAGAGGGAGATGTATCAGGCCCCAAAAATTGAAAAGATGCTAGATATTTACCTCTCGACATAGTGGACATTTAGCTTTACCATCCGCTGCCTTTAATCCATCTACTATAGTCACTGATGCAGCGGAGCAAGCGCACATGTAACAGAAGATATGGCCGCAAGTTAGAGATACTGGATCAAAAACTGTGTCCTGTAACAAATAAATCAAATGAATTCTTCAGAGAAAATCACACTGCAATGCCATAGCAAAATGGAAACTTTAGATATAAGATTATTTATTATGGTTCTTATTACATAGAAGAGGAAGAATAGTTTACTCACTCTCCCATGTTCTGTGGGAGTGCATGCCTGGGGTTCAAAAAATACACTGAAATTCCCTAAGTTGGTCATTAAGAATTCCAGCAACAAAAATGTCACCTACTTCATTCATCATGACCAAAAATTGATAACAACATACATATTGGACAGCTTCAAATCCTTGTTGAAAAAGTTGAAGAAATACTTCAAGAAGAACAGCCTTCAATTAGGTCAGCTACACTGCCTACCAAGTTAGAACTTAAAAAAATGTTTGATTAACTTAAATGCCTACTCTACAAAAGCCTAGGGAAGATGAGAAGTTCTTGCCTAAGTGAACTTACAGGATACCAAAAATCCACTTGTCCAAAGGATATTAGTTATTTGTCCCTCTAAAAGTTTCCTCTAAACAGTTGCTCTACTTGTGACATTGTGCAAAGAAATTTGTAGAATAAATGATTATGATCATTTGAAAGAGTTGAAACATGGGTTCAAAAGTATTCATCAACCATGAGGGCCATGTATAAATAAGATCCTTTTTATGAGTAACCATGTATATACAAGATTTAAGGTTTTGTATCTTTCAAAACCAGATTATGACTCACCAAGCATATAGAACAACTCAGATCAATATCAAGGTTCACAGAATCAAATAGAGCACATGATAGTGATGGTTTGCCATCATTGAACGTGAGGGAGCAGCCTTCAAACAACCCTTTGACTGCCTGGGACTTGGTCTTGTTTTCCCTTAAGTTAATGTGGAAGGCCATTAACTCACAGAGCCACGGAGACTGAAGGATCTCAATATGCATGCTTTGAGCTTGTGATTTGAAGGCCTGCCCTTGCTTTGAGTAATGGATCTGTATCCAGAATGAAAAATTAAATAAGTACCCATCCACTAAACCAGAAGCAAATGTGATATATCTCTAGCATGTTTAGATTCCACCAGAAATTAAATGATTTCACTGTGACATTCTATTGCATTTATTAAAAGCACCAATTAAAATAAAACCATTTCCAGTTGCAGAAAATGTAGAACCAAGTAACTAACTACCAAGGTCCTTTTAGGATTTCAAGAAATGAATTCATTTTGGTTTTTATATACAACTGGAAAAAAATTTCATTTTGGTAATAAAGATTCTGGGTTTAAATGGCATGTGAAACTAAATATGAAATGATTTCTATTCACATGGTAACCAAACAAGCTGCTTAAATGGATAAACATACCTTGTCATATTTCTTTAGGATTTTTCTGATGGCAATGGTATTGATAATTGCATAGGTAACCAGGTCCTTCCCTTCTTGAATCAAAGTACCATGGTTACCTTGTCTTTGGCCTTTAAACCACATAAGGTACTTTCTGAAGCCTGAAGCTAGATGTAGATCAAGCAACTTCTGTGCACGCTCATTAAAACAACCCAAGATTTCAGACATCTCCTTCAGAAGGGAGGGAAAGAAGGTCCCATCGCAAACTACATTAGATCAAGATCACAAATAAGTGGTGGATACGAAGATGGTTGATAAATGGGATCATAATCAAGTATAATTGAAGGCTAATGCTGTTGAAAATGTATGACCATGAGAACAAATCAATACAACCATAAACCATTAGGAAACTATAAATGTCAAAATGGAAAGGTTGATAGAGACTGAATAAGAAAAGTTCTAGCATTGGATTCCCAAGTTCCCTGAAATCAGACCTGACACTTCTGGGTTTTAATGTGCATACAGTGAATTGGGAAGTAGAATATGAACTTATGCCATATGATGTGAACTCATCACAATTCACAACTAATAAAAGTTGAACTCGGTGTTAAAAAAACAAATTAATTAGAAGAGGAAAAACAAGTATAAGAGAGCCATTAAAAAATGCAGGACATGTCTGATCAGTTTTCCATCATTTTCTTCAGCAGCAACCAAAGCATAGCCGTTTGTGCTTGCATTGTAGTCTATTTGGGAGAAAAAAAGAATACGGAGGCTCTTTCTTGTGCTGTGTGGTATTCAGGAAACAAATAAACCGGAAAATAGAACCAAAGAAACCATCTATGTCCCCCACCTATGCAGCACTCTGTGAATTAGAAGTTTAAAACTTTAAAATTCCAAACGGGTTTCAAGTTTCTGGTGTTTTGCAGAAAGAAACAATTTTCTATAATTCCAATAGATAATCAGAAGAAAAAAAGGAGATAAAAACTGCATTTCTTTAACTTGGTAAGTAGTTTTCTAGATCATGTCCCTGAATAAGACAATCAAGACTTGACTCAAATTATCTTCCAATTCAGAGGGTTATAACTTATAAACCCAAAGCATGAAAAGCTTTCTTCTTAACAAAACAAATATATTAGGAAAAAAAAACATCGAAAAATAGAGACAAAATCTCCTGACAATTCCCCCTTATTTTCTGATAATTCACACCTAGGAAACGAAAAAAAAAGACCGAGTTGACAAAGACCAGTGACTCAGCCATGATCATTGTCAATCCATTTACCACAAACAGCAAATATATCGTATCAGAACCATGGTGGCCTATTAGCAACATTAAACAACCTAAAATATAAGAGAAAACAATGGAAAAGCAAACGAAAAAAATATAGGAAAAGGGCATTGAGACAAAGAGCGATCCCTAATAAAGGAAACCATCAAATCAATCAATAGGATCTACATTATAACTGATCAAATAACCAAAGGAAAGAATACCTGGGCATTGTTGGGGACATGTCGAGACATCATGTTCCCCATCGCTGCCTTGTTGTAACTGAAAATCTCTTCTGCATTTCTTCAAAATCTTCTTGAGCATCTTGAATTCAACCCCAGGTAATTGTTTCTCCTGCCCTCGCATGTATTCCTGGTACCTCTTACAGAACTTCATCTCCGCTTCCCCCTCCTCCTCTTCTTCTTCTTTTTGAACCAGGAACTTTCAACAAAATCTATGAAGATTTCTCACAGCCTATTTATAATGTCTGGAGAACGAGAACCCAATCAAGTTGAATTGATTCTTATCGGCCCCTTAAGGGTTTCGTCTTTGCCCAACTAAGCTAGTTGAAGATTTTTTATTTTTTCAGACTTATATCTGTGTCAATCGCTTCCGTTTGCTCCATCTTTTTCTTCTTGTACCTCTCTCTCTCTCTCCTTTTTTTTTTTTTTTTTTTTGTCAGAACATTTCGTAACGGCTTGAACACCTGGTACTGTGGGAGGGCGACGCGGATTTGATGAGTACGACTAACGATTTCCGAAGGCCAAACGAGATAGAATTGGTACGGACACGAATGACCATTTTATCGAGAATTTATCGTGAGGTTGGCGTGGCGTCAGCTATACTGCTTTTGCAAGGTGGGCATTTGGCAGTTGGCACCGGAGCGTTTTACACTTTACAGGCGATTCGATTTATAAAAAACGCTCAACGGTCGAAAAACGTTTCTCTTTACCGGCTTTTGTTGTTGACATTATTCCGTACAACGCACATGCATACGTAGGGTTGTCAATGGACATGGGTCATGGTAAATCCGGTTTGGGGGTCATGGTAGGGTCAGGTATATTTGGTTTTAGGGTTAGGTTACGGTTTTATTTTTTTGACCCGAACTGGATTGGGGTTGGACTTGGGTTATTGACCCATCTTGTAGGGTCATAGTATCCTTCATATATATCAAGTATTCATACAGTTTTTTTACTTCTAACTTTATAGACTTAAAATTTATGATTTATTCACGGAAAATCCATGATGCAAGAAAGATACGATATCTAAGGCTGCAACTTGGGTCGGGTTGGCCTGAATCCAACCCTAACCCAATCCGAAAATGTTGGGTTGGGTTGGGCCGGGTTGATGTTTGGGTTAGGGTTAGGGCTGAAATTCATGAACCCGACTTTACTTCGGATTGGGTTAGGGTTGACCCCTTAGGCAACTCGACTTGACCCGAATCCGACTCTATAGTACATGTCATATATAACATACATTGATTTGTTTAAATGCATGATATTTGTATGACCCCACCACATAGTATCATGTATTTCTTTTAAGATAATCACTTCACTTAATCCTAATCAAAAAGACTAAAACCTTAATAACATCAATTTATGTTTTTTGAAAATTTTATTCTTCATCTCCTCTATGTTGTTTGTTGCCCAAGAAAGATCTATCGTAAGTCATAACACTTGTTTTTCTGAATTTTGTACCAAAAGAACAAAAAGAAAAAAAAAAAAAAACATCAACAAACATGTACTAATGAAACATAGGATTAATATATGTACTCAAAGTTGAGTTAAGATCTAAAATTGAGAAATTCTATGAGGTTTTAAGGGATGGGAAGAAAGTTGGTTTGGGCCCAACCTGAGCCCAACCCAACCTGAAATTGACTTCGGGCTGGGTTAGGGTTGAAGGATTTTAGTTAGGTTAGGGTTGGGTTAGGGTTAGGTTTAGAGGTTTAGAACATAGGGTTGGGCTAGGGTTGGCCTCAACCCGTCTAACTTGGCCCGACTTGCAGCCCCGACTTCGGGTGGGTAAATAACTTTCCCACCTAGGGGAAAGTTGCCAACACTTGAATAGGACAAAAATACCCCTTCTAATAATGGATTTTTATGGCTAAAATGGTCATTGCCTTATTTACATGAGAAATAAAAGAACATGGGTAAATGCACTTACCTGGGTAAGTGCACTTACTTGGGTAAGTGCACTTACTTGGGTAAGTGTTTCCCAGGAAAAACTTACCCAGGTAACTGCATTTACCCGGATAAGTAACTTACCGAAAAACAAACGGGGCCTTAAAAGCTATGATACCAATCAGGTGGTGTTCATCACAATTCATGGGAGTACTTTAATCAGTCAAAGTTATTCCAATAGCATGTCTTTCCAGTATCATAGATTTTCTATGTAATCTTATATCTATCTCTTGTAATCCACTAAATCACGACTCTTTGTCCTTGTAGATTTGGTTCCTTAATTGATCTTGACTCGGATTCATTTTTTTGGTAAGAAATTTCTCTGATTCTAATCACACGGGCAAATGTAATCTTAATACTCCTTTGCTTTGTATAGAACTGATAACAACCATTTTTTACAATATTGAGCATATGTGTCTCGAGATTTTAATAGAGCTCAGAGTTGAAAGTAACGAGAAATTAGAACTCAGATTCAATCCTCACTAGACCACGCTCATGCCATCCTCACAGCCACTTGTAGAACATTGTAATGCTATCTCCCAAGGAAGGAGATCACATCTCCATCCCACAAGGAGCCACCCCACAGCACATCCCCGCCGTGTATTGGGAACATCTCCCGATGATAGGAAGTGCTGTGGGGGGGCTCCTGGTGGGGCGGAGATGTGAACTCCCAAAGAAGTTGGTGTGAAGAGTGCTATGTGAGGAGTGTGAGTTTCATCATCTTATCCGGGTCTATTGCTCACATGTTTACATAGTGTTCCTCATGTCAATATCACAGCACATCCAGATTTGATGAGAATCCAAGTTTGTTCTTTACAGAATAAGGGTGTAGTGGGTGTTTGGCACTGATGTCGTTTTTTGAGAAAACATATCACGTAGGTGTTATATCAGAGGAAGCCGTGCTTCAAACAATACCCTCTTGTTTGGTACCGTTTTCTAAAAAAAAAATGTTGCTCCAAGCCATGCCTTGGAAATTGGGAAAGTGTGGTATGGAGAAATGCCAAATTCAATATTTTTTGAGAAAACGGTGCATTGCTACCAGCGGTCCAATGATGTGGCACTATCTTGGACGTTGGATAATATAGACCATGTTGAAAACGTTGCTGCCAGCACTAGTACCAAACAAAACCAATGTTTTATCAGAAAACAACCTATGTGGCAGCACTGGTTCCAAACAAAAAATAAACAGAAAATGGTGCGATGTTCCCGGCACTGATGCCAAACACCTATATAATCAAATTGAGCCCAACCACGTATCAAGTTGCTCGAGTTTGAGCTCAATTCAAAAATTCAGAGCTAGAATTGATTTGAACTCGATTGAGTTGTGAGTTTCTGGTTCAAGCATGGATTGACTTGAATCTATTATAAATAAATTAGCATAAAAACTACAACTAAATTAATATTAAACATATTAAAAAATTATAAATAAAAAAATAATATAAATAGTATAAAATGCATTATGAAATCAATTATAAATGTATTTATTTATTATAAACAAGTTAATGTCAAAAATTAATATTTATTTATATATATTATAGATATAAATATACTAAAAAATAATATTTTATTATAAACTTGATTAGGCTCATGAGGCACTCGAATTGGGCATTACAAAGCTTGAACTCAATTCGACACACTATCCGGCTCAAATTCGAACTCAATTAGTTGAACTAAATTAGAGAATTTAGTAAACCAAGCTGGAATAGCTCAATATAGCCTTGCTTGCACCTGTACACACATCCCAAGCTAGAATAGCTCAAGCTCGATCCTCACACTAGCCTCACAACACATCCCAAGGACACATCGAAAACTTCTTCCCCTTTGCTCTTCACACCAACCTCACACCACATCCGAGTTGTTGAACATGATGAGTGCTATGTGAGGATGGATGGGATTTGTCATCATCATTCATCATAGGTGTGTTTGGTTGTGGTGTAATTTTATTTACACTAGTATAAATGTATAGAAGTGCAAATGAAAAAATATAAATTTTTATTTAATTTTGTTTTGGGTTTTGTTTTATTCTGCTTTATATCTTAATTTACTTCATTTATAATACAATCAATCAAAATAAGATAAAATTTGAAACAAAAATAGATCAGAATTTACACTCAAATCATTTGCACTGCCACAATTTCACATCAATATAAATTTATTTGCATTGAAACCAAACACAGCCTAAAGGATTTTTGCCCTCATGATTGGTACGTGGGGAGATATAAGTCACCTATTTTTCATCCACATGGAGTCACTTATAATATTAGAACTCCCATTACTCTTTACAAATCATTCTTTATATTGAACTCGTAGCATATCCAATCGTACATTAGGAATGTTTTTCATACTTATATATTATTATTCATAAATATGTACCCAATACACGATAGGATGTGACTAGCCTTGAGGAGTAAATCCCAATTCATAATATTGGTTATTCACCAAAAAACAAGATTAGTGTATCTAAAGATTTAAATATCTAATTTGTTCACTTTTGCTACCACGCTGTTGTAGCACATGGGTAAAACAGAATCATGACCTTAGATTTACTATAGTAACCCCACCAAAATCAAGGTGGGCCATGGCAACAAAGCCTTTGGTTTAAGGGATAAGTAAATTGCACTCTCTCTCAGAAATCTAAAATTACAGCCGGTGGATTTCTAGGGTGGACTGAACGGTAAAATCCCCTTGATTTAATTGTTTTGCGAAGGGCAATAACAACATAGGTTCATATACATAAGACAGATGTGTTCAATAACACAGAATCGTGATTGGTAGGGGTGTTTACATTAAATGTCAAATTGGCTAAACCGGTCTGATCCAACCCGAATTGGTAGATTTTTCAAAATCACTGGTCGGTTTTAGTTTGTATGAGAAAATGAACCGATAATTCGGTTCAGTTTTGATTTTTATGTATGAAAATCAATACTAAATCGAATCAAACCGATCCTATATTTTTAAGTAATTAGTAATTAGTCCCTACCCTATATGTTAAATGTTGATATATTTTATTTGTGTTTTGTTTGAACTTTGAAAAAAAAAATGGTTATTTATGATAAAAACTAAAAATGCAAAAGCAATACAAATATAATAAAATTGTACAATATTTAATTCAATTTTGTATAAATTTAAATATATATATATATATTGACAAAAAATCAATTTTGCATAAAAAATTAATCGATTTAAATATATTTTGGTTTTGCATAAAAACTAAAAAGAAATAAACTTAAATATAAATAAATATTTAGATATAGATATTTTAGTTTAAAATATATATAAAAACTGACTAAACTGATAAATTGACCCAAACTGACCCTTCATGATTGGATCAGTTTTGCTTCAAGACCAATCAATTTCAATTTAATCAACAAGTAAACCGATTAGATCGGGTCAATTGAAAAAAAAAAAAAAGTTCAAACCAACCCAACCCGACCTGTTAACACCCCTAAACAAATAATAGTGATTGTTCTATTAACCAACTTTTGGCATTTGTATTCGTGGCAGATACCATGCGCCTTTTGGTTCGCCGCCTGGTCAAAATTACGATAATACCATTTCCAACGACGACGTTCTACAGTTTTGGACCTTTTGGTGGTC